TAAAGCCACACATTTAAAATTTAGATCATTCACCTTGAGTTCCTTTCATTGCTCTCGAAAATATGGGCTAGCGGAGGAGGATTGTAAGTAAACTCAACGATGCCACTAATAGACAAGTAATCCCGAGAGGACTCGTCGCCGGGAAGGAAGCTGGGGTTGGAGGGGCGGGTGGACGGCCGTCGATGGTCCACTCGTAGTCTGAACTTTGTCTGTTGATGACGTGTATGAGAGTAGGGAGGATCCTGTCCAAGTAAGCTCCAACAGTGTCGTCGTCGGAATCAAATCCCGCGTCGAAGAATGGCGATTGTCGGACGTCGAGATTGCCGTGGGCATCAAATACTAGCCCCCATTCAAATTCCGGATCCGCCATACATCCCTTTTCTTGTAGATGAGGGGGCAAGGTGGAAGAACTTAGGAGAAGAGGTCTCGGGTGAGGGGAAGAGAGAGATCGGTGGGCTAGGGTAGAGGAAATTTCAGAATTCTGGAATCTAATTCCAATTAGGAGTGGGAAATTTAATTTAAAAAAAACAAATTAATTCCAAATTGGATGGGGGGAAGCTGGCGGTTCAAGAGGGTTAATGGAAATTGATTGAGAGCAATTAATAAAATAGAAGAGAGAAAAGCCAATCAAGGGGAGGCCGGCCACGTATAGAGAGGAAAGAGAGGGATTAAAATCAAATAGGTGGGGCCCATATGTTATATATTAATTATAATCAAATCTGAGTAACGTTCAGTATTGATTTTAATTAAGAAAACTTCCAAAATGGCATAATATGGGGAGGAAACGGGATTAGAATTTCAATTTAGGATTAAATTCTCTTCAAGAACTTCCCAAATCAGGAAGACCAAATAGGAAAGCAAATTAATCCTAGCAATTTTGAAATCCCTGCAGCTGAACCAAGGGCTGGCCGGCGGCTAGGTGGCCTGGCCAGCAGGGGGGCTGGCCGGCGGTCTGAGTCTTCTCATTCTTCCTGAGCCACTTGTGACTTTATGAAATGTTAGATGCTCACGGAAAAACAATAAATATATACTCAATGAAAAGGCGGTCCAAACTACTCATATTTTTGCATGCATCATAATTAAACTCGGGTCAA